GGAAATGACATCTTGAATTTTGACCCATTTTTCTTTATTACGTCATCTCTGCTCTCTTTAATCTGTTTTGTCTCAGAGTATGTCTGCTCCTTTTGCATCAGCTACTGAGTCCCACCTGCAGCTTTACTTCAGCTTTTGTTTGCCTCTGATCTTTTTCTCATTCTTCTGATGAACATACCAAAAGGTGGTAAAAAAGTATTTTTTCTGGAATAAGCATGAATAACATAAGAAGGAATATAATACTTCTTTCTGTCTCCTCTGATTACAAAAGCAAACAAATAGAAAAAGTTATGGAGCACTAGTGGAGGAAAAAGGACAATTACAAGTGAGCCTAAATTTAGAATTGTGAGTTTGAGCCAAAGCCCTCTGAGGACCATGAGAGTCTTTCCACCCACTTCAAAAGGATGTGGAGCACACCTCATCCTACCTCACTGCTCAGCACAGCTTTGGATAAGAACTGTGTTAACAACCCAGAGAAACATTCTTGAAGGTTAAACCCAGCTTATTTTCAAAGGGAAAGTTTGACAAATTTTGCCAGACTCTGGACCTTAATTAAAACACTGGAACATTTCAAAGTGATAACTATGTTAAGACCTTTTTCTTCCATATTCCTTCTTGGGTGGATCAAGTAAAGTAAAGGAAAAAAGACCGTCTCTGCTGGAAGTTTTTCTTCCATTCAGATGCCTACCCACACCCCAGTCACAGAGAGGAAAAAGGATTGCTTTGACCTCCTCAATATCTTATGCAGACCTAAAATTATTTATACATGTTGCCCTGTTATTACACAAAGAACACGTCTGCTGTGTTTAAAAAAATATTATTGCCAGTCGTACTGCTCCTGTGATGATCTTGTGTATCAGAACTATATTTAGAAGAACCTTCTGCTACAAATAAATGCAAAATGAGTAAGTATGTAATTACAGTTTAAATCTAATTTAGTGAAAAATTGGTTACTCTGACCTACTATAAAGATTTCAGGTCTATTCATGCTCCCCTTTTGACAGGACCAGCCAGATCTATTCTGCACCACTTGTAAGGTGGAGGTGGTGGTGTTCCTTTGATGTCATTGGGTACTTGGGGTCAAGACAATTGGAATTTTCTGCTTTCATGAAAATATTTTTTTTTAAATAAAAAACTGTGAAGGGTTGTTGTGCTCCAAAGCAATGACCATTTCCCAATGTTTCTGAGTATATGGATGCCATGGAAGAATCCTGGCTGGAAAGCAAAGCCCCATGGCACTGCCAAAGCACAATGTGCACCTGGGGGTCCAGAAAGCATCAAGGGAGGTGATCTGGGTCATACTGGCTGAGCTTCTTCTGCCATAGCCAGGTTTCCTCTCCAAAGTCCTAAGCCTGTGTGTGCTGGGTTTGTGTTCCCTGAATGCAGGTCTGATGGGCCACCTGGGAGCCCTGGGCAGGTTCATGCTTCAGCTTTTGCCTCTTTCAGTACTGCATGCCATTTCCTGTGTTCTTGAACTTTGTTGTGAGACATGTGCATGAATCTTGCAGATAGCAATTTACATAAATGTAGATTTTTAAACTTAAAAAAAAAGAAACTTGAACGTAGACATGTACTTAACTATATATTTGGAACTATTTTCTAGCACTGAGCTAAATTTTCAAGTATTTCTCTCTGTTTAGATTCCCTTTATCCCATGTGCAGTTTCATTATTTTCTTGAATCAGGAAACCAAAAGAAATAACAAGGGTAATTTAAATTTACATAAATGTAGATTTTTATACTTAAAAAAAAAAAACTTGAACATAAACATGTACTTAACTATATATTTGGAACTATTTTCTAGCACTGAGCTAAATTTTCAAGTATTTCTCTCTGTTTAGATTCCCTTTATCCCATGTGCAGTTTCATTATTTTCTTGAATCAGGAAACCAAAAGAAATAACAAGGGTAATTTTTTTCTCATCTGACTTTATAGCATCATCTGATAAAATGGAAATTTCTACTCCAGATAATCCGTACAAAAAATGAACCATTTGCCAGAATCCCTAGTGTGCCTGTAAAATACTTAACAGAAGGCTTGTTTTGACAAAAGGATATCACCCCTAATTGTCAAATCCATTCTAAACAAAGGTGGGAGAAGATGGGCTGGTACTGTTTTTTGTCAGCCGTCAGAGCTTTGGGAACTTCATTGTGAACCATCAAATCTAATTTTGAATTTTTTGTCTTATCAGTCACAGTTTCATGGATTTCATTATTTGCATGGGTTGCTTTTTTCTCAACACTTTAAACATAATGTTTGACTGGTGGTGAAGCTGGATGTGACAGGACAGTTTTTGGAAGAGAAGGGCTGATCTGATCCCCACCAGGTGTGTGCAGGCCTGGACCAGCCCCTGCTGGACAGGGACAGGGCTGGGCAGCAGTGACACTCCTGACAGAAAGGTCCAGAACCAACAGCCAGGTACAGCAAAGGTTCTTGGAGTTTTTGAAGTAACATCTGTCAGAAATTATGTTTCTTTACCATGTTACACTACCCACCAGGCATCATCTTCTGTTCTCTTTGTCTCAACTCCTTTACGCTTTGTTTGGAATTCCTTTGAGTCTTGCTTCCCACACTCTTTTATTTCTACAGTACTGGGTTGCTTAGAGGTATTGTCCTCCTTTCTCTAAGGTCTTTGCTCTTTTAACTGGATTTAATGGCATTTGGGCCAGACAGCCAAGAGAAAACTGGATCCTTCCAGCTTAGGGACCAACTTTGTTGGCATTGTAGAACAACCAGACATGGGGATTGTTGAAATAAAGGGAGGCCACACACCCGTCTCTGCCTGGATATTTTAAAGCCTTTATTTTCAAACAACTCTGTTTTTGGAGAAAAGAAAAAACCACAGGATACACTTATGAGGGAAATAATTTCTAAAGCTGTGCCAGATTCCCAGCTCTTTCCTTTGGCCCAGCACTGAGGAGCAATGTTTAGGCTGCCTGCAGAGGACATCTGGTGATCCTGTGGTGCAGGGGAGTCATCATGCTGCTTTAGCCACTTCAGGACATCTGCTCTTTTGAGCTTTTGGAGAGTGATGGGACACAGCCAGAATTTGCAGTATTTTGAAATGGATCTGTCAGCAGAATAGTCCCTGGAGAGTTTTATTCCTGTGGTGTAATTTCAGGTTGGTCTCTGCTGTTTTCAAATCAGCCAGAAAGAACTCAGTGTATCTCCAGCTGAGAACTCAGAGAGGAGTTTTCAACCATCTTTTGCCACCTCTGTGGACTCTGCCCAAAAACTTAGTTTTCAGGCAGGAGAGATCTCTTCTGAACATTGAATAATTTTTTATTTCCAAGAAATGTCTTAGCCAATAATAAGGACAAGAATTGTGTCGCTTTATAGTCAGCAGAAATCCAGAGCTACAGCTCATCCTGTGCTATTGAGAGCACAAGGCAGTTGGTGCTTCTCTGAACTTCCCTGGGCATGAACTCAGTGTGAGATGATTGCAAGTACCTGATGTGCTGGTGATGTTTCTGTCAGAAATGCCAAAGCTCCAACCATCAGCACTTCCCCCTGAACGCTTTTGCCATCTTGTGCTCCACTGTTCTTGGATCCAAAGCATCAAGGACTTGGTTGCATGGAGTTATGCTTTATTTTCTACAAAACACAGGCATAGACTTGGTCTTACTATTCCTACCTGAAGAAAAAAGCAGAGTAAATCAATTGTCAAATCCATTGTGATGGAATCAGAAAGATGCAAATCTACCTGAAAAGTGGGTGGATCATGAATTTGTTGCCTTTTTCCATTCTCTGCTGCCCTCTCTTTTGGTAAAGATGGCCCAACTTTTACCAAGAAAATAGGATAATAAAAAGATAACATAAGATAAATTCATTTGGGATGATATCAAGGGGGATGATACAGAACGTTCTGTACCCTCCCATGCTTTACATAGCAGATGAAGAATTAGAAAATTTATTTTGTCATATTTCTAACAAATTATTCCATTTTGTAATTCTTGTAAGTGCTTAAAACATAATGTGTTAATCAGGATTGATCCCCCAAAAAGTCTGGTGGTTTTGACTTGTAGAAAAATTAGCACCCTTGGAGAACATCCATTCTGTATGGATGAGATGGACTGGAACTTATGGAATGGCATCATCTCTCTTAGCTCTAAACTGAGTTGGTGTGTACAAAAAATTAAAGCTATTTCTGTATTTATAATCTAGAATGCCAGCAAGGGAGTTCTAGGAAAATTGTTAGGAGGATTGCGTCTGACTTTTATGATATCCACTTCACCCTGTCTTAAACAGTAAAAAGTAATTTATTTTTTTAATATGTTTTGATTATAATGCAAAAGACTATATTTTTCCAAATAGGTATTAGGATGTTTTTTGTGCATCCATAAAGGTATAACATTGAAATTAAAAGGACAAACAATTTGAGTAAATGTGAATTCTTCTTCAAGCATTGAGAGGTAAACTAAACTGTGGAATAAGCTGTGGAATACTGACCACTGCCTTCAGAAAAGATTTACGTTGTTTATGCAGTCACTGAATTTTGTTCAGAATCATTTAATCCAGTAGATCTGATCTCCTGCAATCTTCTTTAGATTTAAGCTTCTTTTGCAGGTCTTTTAGGGACAGATACACTTCTACAGACAAAAACTCCAGAATTGTAATCACATTTTAAGACTGCTGGCACCAGTGATATGCATAATTCACAAGTTTCACATTGCAGACATGTTGAGGCAAATGAGCTGTTGCAAACATGTAGCTGGTTACTGTGTACATACAAATCCAGAAGTAAATATTGTTCATACCTCATGCCCAATGCAAAATGCCTTTTTGCTATTGAAACAGAGAGGCAGCATTTTATTACTTCCATGGCCACTTAGAGGTACCAGGGTAATTGGTGGATTTCAGTATTTTTGTCATGATGGAGAAGACCACATATTTTCCTTTCCACAAGACTTAATTTTTAATATACATAAATATAAAGCTATTAGAATTTGAAATAGAAATGCATATTTGAATGAAGTTTCTTTTCTGCTTTCTGTTCCTCAGAATCCAACATCCCTTTCCTGAATTGACTAACAAATGCAGCAGAAGTTTTTGAAGCACTTCTTGTGCAAATCTCCACCACAAAAGAGAAGCAGTCACCTCTCCAGGTCCTGAACTGCCTCAAGGAAAATGGAAACAACATTTACAGGTGAGGTGATGCAAAACTTTTTATATAGGGAACCCTGCATTATTAAAGATCCCTTTGTGTCTCCAGTGCCTGTGAAGGGAGACAAGATGCTGGTTGTTATTCTTTGTCTACTGCTCCTTAGTTCATTACCATTTTTCTGCTTCACAGCATTAACCATTACATGGAGCAACACTCTCCCTGTGCTTCACACATCACAAAGAGCCGCCCATGCTTCTCAGAGATGCTCCTGGCTTTCATGGCAGTGCAGGGCAGCCAGTGGAACAAAAGACTTCAAAGCAGGCAAATTAAGGATGATCTCTAAGATAAACATCTATTATTCAGTATGTCTGAAGTCCATACCTCTTGCTTTGTGTTGCCCAGAGCCTGCTCTTTGTCTGCTGTCAGGTTTTCAGTGTGCCACTGGGGGTGACTGACTTTTCCATTCATTTCTAGGCATAACTATTTTCTCACTATTCAGTCAAGCTTTGTGACATTTGCACGAATTCCACCAGGTCTGAGGAAGAGAAGTATATTGCACATTGCCAGTGAAACAACCCAAGTCACTATTCTAGTATTTCTGCCACACTCCTCTGTTTCTGTCCAAAGTAATCCAAAAGCTTTACCTTTTGCACCTTTAGATAGCCTCAGTGATACCTTTTATACCTATTGATTCACTGTTTCTGGATTTTCCTTTATTTTTCTATTGTATATGTACACTCTTCCTGTTTAACAAAGGAGATGGAAGAAGGAAAAAATAACTGCCTTCAGTCATTCTGCTGGGACTGAAGATGAGGAAGTTTTGGATGTTACATACCAGAGGCATCAGATGGGTGCAAGGAGCATGAAGATGTCATTTATTGAATATGAATGATTGGTATAAAGCACAAGTTTACAGCAGTTATCACTTCAGTGAAGCTCACTTTTGACAAGGCTCAGTGAGAGGAGCAGGGGAACCATTGTTTACCCTTTGGGTTTTTTCCCACTCATAGCAGAAAATGAAAAAAAATAGAGCCCTGTCAAACATAGGAGATCCATCTCATGCAGGGTCTTGAAATATGGCTTTGTTCCAAACTGGAACAAAGCTCCCAAATTTCCAAATATTCAATGAAGAAATTTGTCAGAGAAAAACAATCTAACCCATGTTCACAGAATTAGTTCACTTTGTCAGAACTGAAGGGCTCTGCTTTCACTTTGACTTCCTCATACTTTTTATATAATGCATCTAACCTGATCCTAAATAAAATACCTCATGCAAAACTTTCAACTTCAACACCACTGGAAAATGGCATCATCTGGGGATCCCACTTTGAAAGAAAAGTTACCAAAATCTCCATGGATATCTACTGAGATAGTTGAGAAGTGAATTTCAGTCCTTTATTGGTTTGTACTTGCTCGTGCAGAAAACAAGCCTCCCATCATAAAACACCAAGAAGCAGGGAGGCCACCTGACATACACCCAGCCCTGCCCAGTAATTCCACCCAGCAGTGCCTAAGGAACCCCAGGAAGATGTGAGGAGGGGTCCTCACAGTGTGGGCTCTGTGCCTCCAACCCACCACTCCAGGTCCCAGACCTTTTCAGATGAAGGATGAAGAGTCCTGGCAGACAAGGTTAACAAGTTCCCTTCATGATTTGAATTGTGATGGACTGTAAGCTGGGTTTCTACAGCCTTGGAAGATACTCCTGCACACTAGCTTTGATTTGGAACCAGCAGGAGCAAGGTCAGCAGATGTGCCCAGCCCACACCAGGTGGGGCTTTTATGTGTCCTAGAATATCTATTGGCTATAATGAAATATTTAATGGCTCCATTATCTTTTTTGTAATTATTTCCAGTACCTACCTAGAACATAACCTGGGTGTGTAAGTGGGAATACATGTTTGGAAATGACTGGAGCCAGCCCTGAGAAATGGGCTGAGCTGCCCCTGCTCAGCTGCCACAGTGTTGATCCTGTGGGGCTTGTTGGGTTTTGTTTGTTTAGTAATCAAGCAGGGCCCTTTTTAGTCATTGTGTAATCACTGGGGCACAACTTGCTCACATGTGGTCATGACACAGCTCCCTCACAATCCCTCCCTGCTGAGTACATGAGGTGTGACCTCAGCACAGCCTTGGGGGGCATTGCTCACCCCCTGCTCCATGCTGCTCTTGCAGCTCTGCCAGTGCAGTTTAATCACTGCTGTGGAGCTGTGTGGGAGCTCAAACCACCACATTGCTCAAAGTAACTCGGTGGTAGAGAGTAGACCTCTAAAATGCAAAGCATTAGGGTGGAGAGTTGCTTGACTCCTGCCATTCATTTCTTTTTTACAGAGCATTGATGCACTGAAACTTCCATCACAAGGAACTATCATTAACTAGTGCACATTTATTTGCTTAAGGAGTCTAATAATCAATCATCAAATTTTTCCACTTGTTTTCTGGCATTGTATTTCATCACTTGGTAAAGTATGAAACATTATCATTCTTTACACAATTTTGTTAACGGAATATTTATTTGAAGAACTTTCAATATAAATAAAGATTTTCTACATATATTCCTTTAAAGAGATTTATTTTCATTTCAACTATTTGCTTTCCTATGAAAAATTCATGTGAAAAAATAATCCAGAAATGTAAATGGCATGAAAATGGAATTATCCATCAGATGGAAGGGGTGATCAGTCCAAGCCAGGTATGTGGGTTTGGGTGGGGTACAGCAAATGGCTTCACTGGTTTATATGTTTGGGGGATTTCTCTGCATGCCCCTCTATCCCCACTACTGTGGTTCATTTATTCTTTGGGAAAGAAAAGGAAGGCTGGTATAAATTAGGAATGGTAATGTAAAAGCTTATACCCACTGCATAAAAGATTTTAAAATTATTACAAGCATTAAATTGCCAAACTTTTTTCCATATACTGCCAGTATTAAACATGACATGCCTCCTAGGGTTGGTATAAAGTTTTGTCAACGTTTTTGGCGTACAAGGTCTCAGCCTGGGGTCAATATTTTCTCGACCAAATTTTGTTGTTTCAGTTGCCTTTTTACACTCATATATTGTAACTCAAACATTTTCAAAAAAATGAAATTTGGCAGGCTATTAGTCCATAATGTGGTCTGATGCCTTTGGGTATTTTTTTAAATGTAAATCACTGAGATATTTAAGGTTTGAGGTTTAAGAACTGTGCACACACTTTAACAACTTCTTTTAAAAATATTTAGTATGCATATTTACTACATATGTATCTTATAGAGACTAGAGATTAAACTGGAGATTACTTGCTAAAATGTGCAAACTGCTATCCATGAATAAACATCCTCATGAACCCCTATTGAAAGTTTCTTATTAAAAAAAAAGTTTAAAGCTGCAATAAAAGCAAAGGGAAGTAAGAAGAGGGGAGAAAAAAAATCAACATTTAAATAATTTTAATGATTTAACTTGGCCTCAGAAAATAAAGAAGTCTATTTTTTTTCTCCTGGGATCTAATCCAAAGCCCACTGAGGCCAAAAGAAGGCTTTCCACCTATTCCCATGTGTGCTGGATTTGCTCTCTGCTCTGCTGCTCCCTCACTGTGTTGTATTGATGGACTGAAGCAGCAGCTCCCACAACATCCCCATCCATCTGCCTGATGCAGTGCAGTTTGGGGTCAGCTACTGGTGGCACAGGAACTCTCCTCTGGAGTGTCCTTTCTCTGTATATGTGAATCAGATTTCCACTTTTGCTTTAACATTAATACTTCCCAGTCATTTGTTACAGTGCTCACCCAGAAAAGTGTGGGTGAAAAGATCTGAGAATCCTGCAAAGGCCCAAATGTCCCCATGCCCACATCAGTGTTGTGTCCAACACAACATCCCCAACCCAAGAACCCTAGGTATTGACCTCATTTCAAGTAATTTTTAGCATCAGCCTGGGAACACATTCCCTAATTTTTGTTAGTTGCAAATGACAAGATTTGTGTGATCAACGAGCACTGGCGCCATCGCATGCAATGCTCGTTAGAGTGCAATTCCTGCAGTTCCTGGACAATCTGTTCCTTATGGGGATTTCTGGGAGCTTGGAAACTCTCACTAAGACGCTGGCAACATCAAGCAAACATCTCAGACACATTGTCTTTCTGAACCCGAACTTTTTTAATGGTGGTTAAACATGTTGTCTGCTTTAGTTTCCTGTCTATCTTCATCATAAGCCAGCACCTGTTTCCAATAAATTATACACAGAGCTGTATCAGCAACACCTTGGCAGCAGCTGCCACCCTGAAAAGCAGAATGCCCTGGAGGACAATACACCTGTGAACACATACAGTGTTTATTTAGCTGAAAGGCAAAACTTTAGGTTACATAAAGTAATTATCTAAATCTTAATGCATGCCCATTATTAGCACAAAATAACCTTGTTCTTTAAAACCAGTAAAAATCTATTTAAAGGCTTTTCCCAAATCCCAGGGAAACGTGTACTAGCACCATGGATCTGCTATTAGTCTAGGACTTCAATGTCTGATGGTGGGAACACGTGTGGGGGAGGCTACATGTGCAGCTACAAAGAAATAAGGCACCGATTTGGAGTTTGTTACGCACAGGGATGAGAGAAGAAGCTGAATAATTTTCAGAGAGACTGTTGGAACAACAGACTTTTATTTTTTTTAGTTGCACATTATAAAGAAGCATTTTGTTGCTGAAGTATAGAACTACTGTGTTTAGAATAGTGTTTGATCTTTCCATCACTATGAGACAGTAGAAAAAAGTAGTTCTGAGAAAAAGGTTTTCTTATTACAGGAACAAACCTTTCATTTCCAGTTCACTACCACACTGGCCTTTCATGTAAGAGCAACCTATTTTAGCAGCAGTAAGTAGGCTTGGTTGTTTGCAGCAGATCACAGGATAATGGAAATGAAAAAATCTTATGATTAAAATAGAACACAAATCTGAGAAAAGTTCTCAAGTTTTGATAAAGCAAGAAGTAACACTAGGAACTCTGCAGTTCAAGTAAAGTGTAACATACATTTTCAGTTTAACACGCATACTTTAAAGATTATTTGGCACATGAACCTTATAAATCATTTAAAATGGAAGATATTTTCTACCTGGTGTTTCTAAAATTAGCACTAAGTATGAAAAGTTTATATATGTGCATGCTTGTATCTATTGAATTAAATGCCCATAAAATGCTTACTTTTAAAGGCATAATTTAGAATAATTTCATTTCCTGTATTATGCCTCCTGATACCATTTAAGTGATCAATAGGAATGCTCTTAGGTGAAAATGTGTTTTAACACTTCTGTTTGGCCAAACCTGAAAGCTGTGGAAGGACTTGCTAATGGCTATTACAGCCTTCTTAAGTGTCACTTTCCTAAGCCCTTACAATGCTGAATAAAAATGCAGGTAGAGCGGTGATGCCAGCATGTAGATATTCTCCAGCCAATAATATAATGAAGAATTAGATCCCAAGGGTTATGCCATATTTTATGAAATGTAAAATAAAATTCCAAGAGAATAGCATTAGCTTAGCCTCACAATAAATGTTGCTAGTAGACCTATTTTGTTTCATATTTTATTATTAGACAGTCCAAAGTTTAACATATCTATATTTTTGTACAGTTGACTTCCTTAAAACTCCTCTATTTTCATCTCAGAACAAGTATAATACGTTTTAGAGATCTGAGCTAAAAACATATGGATTAAGTCAATGATTCAATTTCTAAACCTCCAAATGACTGTTCTGATTACTCATGCAAATCTATTTTTTGCCAGATTTCCTAAAGACTTTAATATGTGCAAAATTAATATGAATATATTTTCTTCTCCTGATGCATGTGAGAATACGATGGAGTGATGATCTCCATGCCCAGATACAAACCTGTGTCTTGATTCCAATTTTCTTGGCTGTGTTTGATTCTAATTGCATATAAATGCTATGAGCACCCAGCTAAGATTCCAACCAAAAGGAAATCCAGCTATGGCTGCAGAACAAAACTATTTATTTTCCCCTGGAGTGTCTAGCTTTTATTAAATGTCAACAAATCCAAAAGCAGGCTTTACTAATCTATGGTGTGCATGGGAAATAAGTCACAAGCACAAGACACCGAAGATAATGTTTGCTTTGGTTTAGATAAACAGGTTCCAGGGAACTGAAATCTCACACAAGCATTTAAAACCTACCTCTTATTTTCCCTTAACATTTGCGAGATCTCCCAGTGGTGCTGAAGAATGCCAAGATGGATGCAGTGTGGGGGCTGGAAGCAGACCTACATTTGGGATTGTTTACTGCCCTCTGTGATGAGTTTATCCATTAGTTTCCTTCCTGTTGACTTTCGTGCATGCTATTAACCCAGGATGTTACATGTTCTTAAACAGAAAATGGAATTAAAAGTGGAAGATGCTGCCACCTGCGAGGTCTGCCTTTGTTCTGCCCACTGGAATTGCCTTGGGAGAGGGGACTGCAGATGGAGCCTTGTGCTGGGAGCTGCAGGGACCCCCCACCTTCCCAAAGAGTGCACGGGCTCCTCCCGACCTCACATCTGTGCTCACACACGTTTGGCTGAGATTGGGACATTGGAGTGGAGATGAGAAAATGTTACAAAATGGAGCTCACAGCCCCTGTGCTGCCCTGGCATGGCCTGGCAGAGGTTCAAGGAGGGTAGGAGGAGTGCAAGACCATGTGGGTCAGGCTAGTCCCACCCTAGGAACACAGAGTGGGGTTTGATTTGGTGAAGAGCTTTTCTAAAGCTGAGTTACTCTGTGGAGAGATGGGACAGGGCAAACCATGGCTGATAAATGGCATTACAGCAGATATGGCCAGGAGAGACCTTCTGAGACAAACAAAGAGAGTGCAGCTCTGGAAACCTGTCATCCTCAACATCCTTGCTGCAGTGGAGCTTCTTCTTTGCATTGGGTGTCACCATGGGATTTCTAAAGGTTTGGTGACATGGAGCCTGGTAAATGCAGGGCTTGGCTTTGGTCTCCAGTCAGATGACATCCAAAAAATAGATATCATAAGGCACACACATCTTTCTAAAAAGCCAAACTGACAAGATAGTTTGAGTATGGAAGACAAGCAATCACCAATAAGGCTGAGTATGTATCGAATCATCTTGGACAACCTTTTATCTCAGGCACAGTAAGGTGGGAAGAGAGCCATAGGAATGAGTTTGCTTTGTTGCAATGCTTCTTTATGATTTTAATTAAGTTTATTTCCACTCAAGAAGATACAAAGAACAATAAAAGAAGGCAATATGAAAGCTCATAGTATGCAAGATTCATCTTGTATTCACAGGTTTTGTGTAACTCATTTTAAACTGATGTTTGCTTGTTTAAGAATGCACACCTGCACATTACCACTTGTGGTAAATAAGTTTATTAGCCAAGGAATGTCTGAATTCTTACTGGAAAACCCATATAAATGCAATTATGCTTTCTTTCAAGATCCCATTTTGGTAAAA